CTGGGGATCTCATTATTTTTTTATATAACAAAAGTAATTATTAAGCTACTGAAGAAGATTCAAGAGCATTTCAAGGTGAAGTGAAAAGAAACAAGTTTTATCCAAAGGGAAATGCATGTGTTTCATGGCAAGCACTTCTTATTACTGTATGTAATAGCGACAAGAAGCCTTTACGCCCAAAAGTAGGGATGCATCGATACGAATACTGTTATTGTGCCAAGTGCATGTTGTCACGTTGCTAATCAACAGGTGACATGAAGTGACAGCGATCTAGACACATTCATGATTAATGATGCCAACCAAAGCAAAGCAGACTGCAGACTGTGCTCTGAGGAGGAACTACAGCATCTTGACACAATACCTGTAACCTGACAAAACATCGTTATGGTATTTAAAGTGCATCTTTAATAGAGAGCATGTGCAGTAAATTGAAATGGTATTGAAATGAGAAATGCACGTTAGAGCACTTCACTTCTGCGAGCACTGAGCACTGAGCTTCCTTCCCCCCCCTCCCCTTCCTTTCACGGCATCTTGTGCTCATTTGTAATAACCACGCTCACGGATACTGCTCAGAGCGCTCACGTCGGCCATCCTGACCCTCTCTGTTTAAACTCCGGAACAAATCAACAAATGGATCCCTGCTCAAATGTACGCTTTCGCAAAGTCTGAACATTCCTTACTTCACGAACTGCAAAAATCTGAATAGCTTAAATGTGTTAGGAATGAATTAAATGAGCTATGAGCTGTACGTAAGGCATCCTGTATCACCCAGAAGAGGATGAGACTGGTTCCTGTCAAGTTTTCTTTCTTGAGTCGTCTCCCTGATGTTCTCTTCTCCACTACTGCCTCTGGCTTGCTCATAGGGAGGCTGTGGCCCAGTGGTTAAGGCTTTAGGCTTCTGACCGGAAGGCCGTGAGTTCAAATATCAGCGCTGCCAAGCTGTCACTGTCGGGTCCTTAAGCGAGACCTTAATTTAACCTTCAACTGCTCAGTTGTATCCTGCCTCGCTTTGGAGATCAGCCAAAGGAGTAAAATGTCATTGTTAATCTAAATCTATATCTGGATTTCTGTAATGTGTATTGTTAAAAGCGCTATAATCATAACAGTGAATTGAATTAAGATATGAAGAACAAGAACTTGGACTCAGGCCAACCCTGAATCAGTTAACACTGAAAATGAAAAGCATGGGAAAAAAAAATCACTGCTGTCCCATCCACCATGCAGCACACGTCTTCAAAGAGATAAATCCTAGCACCGTAGCTACGCGTTAACTTATGTCATTGCGGAGCTCAAAAGAAACTCTTGGCTGTCGTGTCTGAGTTCTGCACATGAGATCCTTCACAGGAGAGGAGAAGAGAGGATGGCTCATTATGTCGCCGGGTCTCAGCAGGGACGTGCGATGTAACACATACGCGAATGTTCAAGCTGCGAGGGAGAAAAAGTGTCTTTGTAAATTACAAGGCTTTCTCAGGGCCAGAGCTGCATGGAGGCTGATAGCGGAATTGAAACATGACTCTGTCCTGGGAGCTTGCGGCGGGATGCTACTGGAACACCGTCTCCTCTGCCAGGCCGCGTGCTGAGATACACACCCACTTTATAGATTTTGATTGAACGTCCGCTGAGAGATGAAAGAAGAGAAGGAGGAGGAGGAGGAGAAGGAGGAGACTGACGATTCTCACACAGGCTCATTTTTCTCAACACCTGATGACACGAACAGACAAAAATCAAAGCGCTTTTCCTGACACTCCGGTAGTGTCAGTGTACACCACGAGCAGAGTCGTACAGCGGCCTTTTCAACCTCCTCCTCCATGTGGACCTCACAGAAAAAGGAAACAAGGCATGATCGTTATCTTCTCTGCACTGTGCAGCCTTATCAGTAGCTTTAAAGTTGAAACCACAGGCGATGTCTCTTCATTAAAACCTCGAGCTGCTTTGAATTCCCGTCGTACGTGCGTGACACTGATGCCAGGCTCTGACTGGGAGGCTCGGTCCTCACAGCATATCACCAAAAAAAAAAAAAAAAAAAAAAAAAAAAAAAAAAAAAAAAAAAAAAAAAAAAAAAAAAAAAAAAAAAAAAAAAAAAAAAAAAAAAAAAAAGAGAGAGGCTGAGGGAGTGACTTTATAGCTGCTATAATGTAAAGTGAAACCAGGAACTAACTTCACGAACATTAAAGACAACTATAAATGGATAAAAATATGGCATGGCATGTCATTCTTTAATAAATAAATCATTGTAATTGTTGGCAAATCACTCCGCCGCTGATTATTTCTCCATAACAGCACAACACTCAGCGTTCTGTTCCTTAAATATATAGCATGGGATGGTATGAAATTCAGAGCATGAGAAGTGCTAGAACATTTGAAATGAATTTGTTTGTAAGGAGATCACTCGGCACTCACCTAACCTCCAGCCGTTTCTAAAAACATCAACATATTCGACATACGTACGCAAACGATTGACAAGTCTAATTATTCACGACCATAAGCATGTGATTAAACACAAATAAAGAAGATCTGGGAGAAGTCGTACGGGGAATTTGCACTAAACTGTGAGATATATTTCAGTTTCACAATTCATCCTTTATTCCCGGCTCCTCTGTCACCCCGGTGCTCTATTTATAACTTGTAACCATAACAACAGCTGCATTTCTTTACTAATCTAAGAGATTGCCTGTCAGTTCATGGGGTATTTTTTGTTCCCTTGTGTGAAGAAGCTCTGCTTTAAAGAACCTGGTGAGAAGAAACAACAAACAGCTGCGTCAACGGCGAATATGAACGATAATCAAGTTTGACGTTTGAATCGTTACTCAAAAAGTCTTCTGCTCAGAGCAAGAAGAAGAGAGAGACAAATCTTGGCAAGTATGAGCTGGAAAAAGAAGAGACGTTACACGTGTAACGGCGCAATATTTAAAAATCTCACAACATCAAGCAGGTGTCTTTCGAGAAAAAGGGGTGCGGCCTACGACATCTTGGTTAAATGCGCTACACGTAAAAAAAGTAACCCTGTGCTACTCGTTCAGATCTCGATGACTCTGTAATCTCGATCAGAACTGGTATTAAGACTAAACGCAGGTGTGAATGTGCGCAAATGTGCCTTCACATCCCCGAGAGCATCCTAGTCACTGCCAGGAACGTCTATGGAAGGAGTCTCCAGTACCGACGCTCTGTAACTCTGAAACAGTTAAAAGGAATTTACACTTTGCTGTTTCTCTGTCACATGATAAGCGGAGTTTTTTTTTTTTTTTGTCTTATTAACTTAAGGAAACAGAGCGGCTGGTGAGGGAACAACTGTTTATAGCTGCTATAACGTAAGCGAGAACATGAAAATGAAGGAATCTCAGACACACGGGCAAGCCCAAAACATAACGCCTCTACCACCACCATCAGAACTGCTGTAGTACAAGAGTAATGAAACTCTTTGGGATGTGTCGCTCTAGGAAAATGATCAACTTCGGGGTGGTAACAGTAGCTCTGCTTCATCACACTCACTCAGCTGTAATCAAAACACTTTGGTCATTTGGCACGACTCTGATAAGACACAAGCAAGAATTTAATCTCTGCTATTACTGTTTCTGATTGAAACTACGTGAGGCACTGATATCGGATTTATGTCTTTAATATCATATTGATTGTGATATAAAGGAAAGACAAGCCTGTTTTTTTTTTTTCTTTTAAAAAACAGTGCATTTCCAGGTCCTGACCCACAGCAAGTGCAGGTCCTCTTTATAACAGGATTGCTCCCAGACTGGTCGTGTGCTGCTGCTGTGAACTGCAAAGCCAGCTCTTTAGTGTTTACAGCAGAGCAACAATATGTACGGATAAGACGAGAGAAACTAAAACTCAACCATGACCCAAATACTTTGTGTGGTGCTGTTATAGGAAAAATAATCAACACTGGGGTGTGATGATGAAGCAGAGTTACTTTTACCAGCCAGAAGTTGATCCTATAACAGCACATCCCTATACATGTTTCATTCCTCTTCTAGCAGAGCAATCCGCCAGTGCTAACCATGTATTTTTTTAATCAAAGGATGACATACTTTTTATCCATTTATAGTTACATATAATGTTGTGGAACATCCATGAAACAAATTCTCACTTACGCTACAGCAGCAATAAACATTCCTTCACCAGCCTTTCATTTTTTTCCATCGCTGGTACTAAGCTCTGACACTGGAGACTCCTTCCATAAAATGTTATATAAACGGCTAATTACAGAAGATTT